CTTAGTGGAGATAACATTAGCAAATATGTTCTCCCATGCAGTGGGCTTTCTTGTTTTTTTATTGATGGATTCTTATGTTGTGCATTGCTTTTTATTTTGATGTAGTCCCATTTGTTTATTTGCTCCTTAGTCTCCATTGCCTTAGGAGCTGTGTTGGTAAAGATATTCCTATGACATATTTCTGCAATTTTGCTGCCTATGGAGTCTTGTAGGTATTTTTAACATTCTTAAACTATATTTTGCTTAACTATCAAATCCAAGACTTATATCTTTTGTTTTTCTCTTTGTAATATATAATCCTCCACACTCCTTCTTACTGTCATTATTAATATAAACTTAAGGATTAGATTTAATTAATTATATTAAGTAACTATTCTTAATCTGGTTTCATATCCACAATTACATTCATTTACCTTGATATTTAACTGTCTTTAAGGCTTACCATCAATCTTCACACAATAATTTTATCTTCCTAAATTTCTTAATTTTCATGTTAAACATATTTGCATAAATATTTTTAAAATGGCTTGGGTATATTTTTAAGTTCTTGCATATTAAAACTGGTTTTCTGTTATCTTTTACATATGAAATTATACATACCGTATTTGCCGGCGTATAAGACGATTTTTTGGCCCTGAAAAATATGCCTCCAAGTGGGGGGTCGTCTTATACGCCAGGTACACTTCAGATAGACTGCCCATAGTGCTTGCCCCGTGCCATAGTGGCCTCCCGATGCCCGCCCACTTCATTCCACATACCGTTCAGGCATCAGCAGCGCTGCTGGGTGTATGCTCGGCTGTTATGCGATTTTGCTGTTATGCGATTTTACCACACTCGCAAAATCGCACACAGCCGACCATACACCCAGTATGATAGCGCAAAATCACGAATCGCGATACCATACTGGGTGTATGGTTGGCTGTGTGCGATTTTGCGAGTGTGGTAAATTCGGGTTACCGTATATTTCTTTACATATGCATTGAATTTTAAAGAAGGCAAAAAATCCACAGGAAGCCCTTCCAAAGATTCCCTATTCTCCTCCCCTCCATACCTACAAAGCTCGGGTCTGGTCCTTCCTACTGGCTCAGGAGTTCTGTAAATGCAGGCAGGGCTTGGGGCTCCAGGTACACGGTAAGCCCAAGACAGGATCCCAGTGTGCAGTATTTTGTAGCCACACTTACCATCCTCTCTTTCAGTCTCCGAGTGGGAACATGCACACGGGCGTGCACTGCATGCACACTCACAAACATGCCCACAGTCACACCCTGACGACCCGTGCGGGGTCGGGCTCAGCATGAGCACAGAGCACGGTGAGCACATACTCCCCACTCACCGGCTCCCCTGGTGTGCCTAGCACTGTGCTGGGCGCAGGAGGAACCATGGTCTTGGGCCTCACGGAACTTATAAGGAGAGACAGATTATAAACAGCAGCAAAAGAGGGTGTCATCTTGGTTATCTGGTGCCTAGGATTATCCGTATATAACAAACTCTGTATTTTGAGTGGAAATGTTAGGGGGTCGTCTTATACGCCCAGTCGTCTTATACGCCGGCAAATACGGTATATATATATGTGTATGAATATTGCTCAGCCATAAAAAAGGAGGAAATCCTGCCATTTTCAACAGGGATGAACCCTGAGTAAGTGAAGTTAATTCAAAGAGAAGGTATAACCTCACTCATATGTGAAATCTAAGAAGAAACAAAAAGATAAAAACTGAACTCATGGACACAAGAATAGATTGAGGGTTGTTAGGGGGTGGGGAAAATGGGGAGATGCCAGCCAAAGGTACAAACTTCCAGTTACAAGGTGAACAAGTTCTGGGGATCTAACGTACAGTATGGCGATTAAAGCTAATGCTACTGTATCACATGCTTGAAGGTTGCCAGGAGAGAAGACCTTAAATTTTCTCAACACACTCACACAAAGCTAACTATGTGAGGTGACTGAGATGTAAGTAAACTTATTATG